CGGACACAACCCGAGAGCTGCCGACTGTCAGAGGGCCCTGCGGTGGGGACCCAGGGCAGTGCCCGCCACCCAGGGCCAGTGCCTGAGATGTGCCGGGAAACACAGGCACAGGCTGGGCTCTGTGCACCCACCTCACCCTCCCGGAGAAGCTCGCCTGAGGCTCAAAGTGCTGCAGCTCTAGTCCCCGGGGAGGGGCAGGGCTGGCCCAGCCTCAGAGGGCGAGGGCCCAGCTCCCGGGGGCTGGTCAGGTGGGCAGGCCTGGGTGCTGGGCACTGACGGCCCTAGGACAGGGTGTCACCCTGCACCCAGAACATTCTTTCCTCGCCTGAGTGGCACCATGCAGACCTGTGGACATCTGATACCCCACATCGGAGACTGGACGCCAGGGCTCGGGGCGCTGGGTTCGAGAGGGGCCCTTCCCACGGGCTGCTTGTCATCCCTGCAGCCACACCCAGGCCTCACCCCACCTGCCCACGTGCTTCGTAGCCCCCCCATCTACGGTGGGAATTCCTAGAAGCTGGCTACGCCACCTCTCCAGCCAAGCTTTTATCCCAAGAAAGCGAGTGTCATGATGTCCTTTAGCCATGTCTTAGCTGGCTCAGAACACGGCAGGGAGAAAGGGATGTAATTTACAGACCCTGAAAACCACAGTGGATGGGAATCGTCTGGGGCTGCTGACCTCTCTTCCTGGGCAGCCAGTGGACACAGGTCAGGCACACTCGGCACATGCCAGGGAGCCACACGCCAGGAGCCACCAAACACAGGGATGAAGACCGCGTGGGGCTCTGGGGGGTCCAAGGTGTTTTGCACAAGGGTCCTGACAAGCGGCCACTCAGGACTCGGGAAGGGCCTCTAGCCCGAGGTCACATGCAAAGCACACTGCCCGCAGGGGTACTGCTGCGGGGGGCCGGGGCGCTTGCGGTGAGCTGGCCGGGGGAGGTGGGAGTCCGACCTCACCAGCTCACAGACCAGGAGCTTGGGTTGCTGTGGTGACTCATTCACCCAGGGGTCCTAACCCCGACCTGCGTGGCGAGGGTGAGAGTGAGCTGGCTCCCTTCCCAGCGTGGTTTAACCCGGCAAGCAGCAGTCGCACCTCCAGGTCCTGAAGACGGCTCGTGCCTCCCATCTGCTTGGCGGGAGGGACAGGAACTTTAAGGGTGGAATGTTTGCTCTGACTGAGGGTTTTTATCAAACACAACAGTCACGTTAATAACTGCTGTGAAGACATGATCAGATAACATACAGTTCAAGCTCTGGACTGATAAAGAGGGAGACATTTAATTCAATTTAGTTTTACAAACATTTAGGCACCAATTCAATTTTCCTACCTAACGGCAGATTTCACAGGTGAGCGTGGATTTCCCGCCCTCTCCCCCAACAAGCTATGAAATTGTGGCAGTGCGTAATGCGAACCTCTCTCTTTCTCTCTCCCGGTTTCCATACATCATGCAGATAACAGGACCGCTCGCCCGGAATGGCAATTGGAACGACCTCTCTGCCCCGTCTTCCTCTCTCGTACATGGCGATGCAGAACAGGTGACTCACCAAACACGCACCACCTTCACCTCTAGAAACGGGAACGCTGCTTCTGTATGTGCTAATTTTGGTGTCAAGTTTCAGACTCTTAAAATAATGAAACCTGCCAGAATGTATTGGGGCCCTAAGGACATTTCAAAGGATCAGCACCCTCTGGGCCCTCTCCGTGAAGCCTGTGCTGCGTAGGCTGCAATTTTTATCAATAACCAAGCAGCTCCTGCTATCGCAGCTGCCCTGAGATCTTCACGCCGGGAAACCTGATTCACCCGATATGCGAATCCATCGCTTACACAGACCCTTTCTCAAAAGCTATAAAACTTCCAAACCCATAGATTTGTCTCCAGCAAAAATAACACGAAGGGGCCTTTCAATCAATAACGGAATCCCTCTGATTCTGGTGCCGGCTGAGTGTTTTCTCCAACTTCGCCTTTGTTCTCGGGGGCAGCGGCCCACAAGGGAAAGGCTTGTTTTCACTCGCGGCTCATCAATACCTAAATCCTGGTGAACAAGTGACACTGAGAAGCTGTAATCAATAGCTCCCTGTGCGTTTTCTTCTTCTGGTCAAATGGTTCAGCCCCACTGACAGCCCTGACACTCAGAACATGATGCTAAATCTTTATCAACAACCATCCGGGTGACTGGCAGAACAAGACTCGGGGGGTCATTAGCGCTCGTGGCGATCTGTGAATAAACTAACTCCTCAGGAATGTGTTTGTTTGGAAGAAGGTGGGGAAATGCTCTGTGCGAGTATTGACTGCCTTTGAACTGCATTTAGCAAATTCTGTCCGAGGGTGACTGGAGGGTGCTTGATCGGGGAGGGCCGTGTTCCACCAGAAAGCTGACCATCCTCCAGGCTGGGCCTGGGAGGGGGCCTTCCGGAAGGCTGCCAGGCCATCTGACCTGGGCTGTGAATTTCTTCATGGAAAACTCTGGAAAAATCCAGGGCCGAGGATGGGATGTGACTTCCCAACAACAGCAGAAACCACCCCTCCCTCTGGCGGGCGAGAGGCGGCCACGCCGAGAGCAAGCGCTGGAGTCCGACCCGCCACGTGTCCCTGTTCCCTCCGAGCCACCCAAGGAGCGAGTGCGCAGGGAGCTTCCTGGGGTTTGCGACACTCCAAGTCCGTTTCTCACTCTCCTCCCCGAAATGCACTCTGGCTCTTTTCAGCCTGAACATGGAGATGTTTTCAATGTCGACCTCTCACCAACTCAGCCTCCATGCTGGACCCACATGTACGGTTCTGAGGCCGGGCCCCTCGCCCTCAGCCCCGAAGGGAGACCTGAGCAGGGCCGGGTTCTCCGTCAGGCCCCCAGGGCCACCCTGTGGACCCCTCAGCCCGTTTGCTCTAAGGAGGTTCTTTTCATCAACTCTGTGGAGCCCCGGGAGGATGCTCACTCCGCCGGGCCGAGCCACAGGAGCACGTGGCTCCTGTCCGCGGTGTCTGTGCCACACCTGGAGGTGGCTCGTGGGTCCCGTGGCTGCCGGCACCTCTGCAACCTTCTCGTCAAGTTGAGGTCCCTGTGTGAGTCATGGGCGGTGCCCAACCACAGAGTGACGCGCAGGGAAAGGCCATGGAGGACTCAGGGCCACCCTGGGGCCTGCGGCACAGGAGGGCCCGAGAAGGGAGACTCCTCAGTGTGTCCTCACGGCCACCTGGGTTCAGGCCCCCGACGGCGGTGTCAATACGGGGACTTTGTGGACATTAGAGTTTTGAGCCCTTTGAGATCCTGTTTTATAAATTTCAGTGACTGAGGCCATCCTTGGGCAGAGACATTCGTAGAGATTGATAGCAGGAGGGGAGACTCATGCCGTTTTCAGGACAATAAATGAATCTGAATATCGCCACAAGCGCGATCGCTGCCCGGCCGTGGCCTCCCCCCAGAAAGCAAGGAGCCGCTGGATGGCGAGAGGCCAGGGAGACGCACTGCAGACGTCAGCTAGCAGAGCTGTCTGCCTGCAGAGCAGACAGGTGTGCACACCGAGGACTCGGGCGAACCTCGGTGAGGGCGTGACCAGGAGAAGCCCGGCCTGAAGCAGGGGTGGTCTGGGACACGGGGAGAACGTCACAGAACATGGCGCCTCTGTGATGCAGGAGGGGGCCAAGGGGGCCTCCCACGGTCGTCCCCATGGCATCACGTGGAGCCTTGGTGCCACAGTGTCTGAACGGGCTCCGTCTAGAGCAAAGTCACCCTTGGAGAAGACAGTGGCCTCTCGGCGGGAAGGCATAGCTTAAGCTTTGCTGGGAAACGTGAAACGTCACATCCAGAAATTTAACTCAGGACCACCGGCGTGCACCTGCAGGGCGTGGAGGAGGTGTGCGCCACGACGCAGCTGGGCCGCTGCCATTCAAGCTCAACGGGTGCAAAACGGAACGCTGCCTGCGCCTACCAGCCCTCGTCAACGAGGACGCGGGACACGCAGAGATGCGGGGGGTCGGTGTGCAGTGTTGTCCGTACCACACATCGTTCCTGACGATTCGGGATTTTTAATAGCACAGAAAACTCTTCTCTAGATCAGATGCACGTGGAGACAGTACAGCCCCTACCAACCTGCAGGGCCTGCCACTCAAGTAACAAGCTTTGTGTGAAAGGCCGCGTGGCTGCACCTCCTAGAGACCCGGGCTCTGCCCTTGGGCTGCCGCGAGCCGTGGGCTGCATGTGTAAACGCCAGGCTCCCCGTGAGCAGGGATGGAGACAGTTTTGAGGACACAGAGCAAAGCCACCGAGATTTTTAAGAAAGCGGGGTCTCTGTGATGTAGTAATTCCGCATCCCATGATGTCAGATGTGCTCCCCTCAGAGGCCGGTTGTCACCGACCACCGTGGACACTTCCCTATAGCTCTAGGGAGAAACCATTCTAACGCGACAGCAGGCCCTGGCAGGCACTGGGGGCTAGTGAGACTGGGAATGTTCCAGGGCCCCATGCAGGCGTGTGGGGTCTCCCCACGGGCCAAGCTGCTGGGTGGACAAGGGCACCCTCCTGCCCACCCGCAGGATCCAGAGGCACGTATGGCCTTGGCCAGGCCCCCATCATCGCCTCCCCTCTAATCATACTGACTTCCTTCCCGAACCTGGACAGCCCGCAGACCACGCACAGCGTGTTGGGGAGCAGAGGCGACCTCTGCCTTCCTGGGTAAGACAGGCCTGGCCCTGTCCTCCGGGGAGATGGCCTCTGGGGTGTGTGAGCTTTGCTCTCAGCAAGACCTGACTGCAGACGCACAGGAGGGACCAGGACATGGAGGAGCCCGGGGAAAGAACTACTCCCAGGGAGACAGGCTGGAAGATGGTGAGGTGCCAGGCCCCAAGGCCCATGGCCTGGACCTCCTAACAGAGTGAAGCCCCTGGGAATGGGGGTGTGTCCCCAGCACGTGCGTCTTTCCAGAGTGCAGGTTCCACATGGATGGCCCTTTCTGTCTGTTCTCCCGGCACCTGGAGAGGGTCTGGCACCCTCGGCACTGCTGTCGAATCACTGTCGGGTGTCTGCTCGGCACCACTCCAGGCTCGCCGCCCTGAGCTCTTGTGACCAGCCACTCCGTGGTTCTGACAGACACTGTGGGGGTGGGGCTGGTGGAGGGGTGGGAAAGATTCCCTTCCTCCTTCACCAAAACAGTGGGGGGACCCACCAGTGCCGCCCACGCTATCAGCGCTGCTTCCTCTCCGCCCCGCCCACTGCAGCCCAGTTGCCTCCCAAACACGCTGATGCAAACACCACTTGGACCCCCCCTGAGTGCCAGGCCCAGGCCCACCCGCCGACCGCGGCCACCGTGACCCACGGGGATGCCAACTCACAGGATTGCTTCTCATTGCTCCTCCCACGGCCCGCGCGGCCTTGGGCTTGCCTGCCAGGGCTGCTAATTGCTGGTAAGAAACCGTTTCTCCGAATTTCACAGCCTTCAGCAGCTTCCATAACACCTGCCTGGTGAAGGAATCTGAAAGGCAGAATGCAGAATGACGTTATTTGGACAAACAGCTCCAACAGCTCGGCTATAAATAGCTGCCAGTCCTGAGAGAGGAAGCACAGCCACACAGAGCGGGGTCACCCCAGTTAGAGCCCAGCGCCACACGCAGCCTGTCACCAAGCCCCCAACAAGGAGGGACAGGCGTGAGGCTGGCCCCTTCGCCGGCATCCCCCAACGATGCATCACCATCTGCACCCTCCTCCCGTCCTCCCTGAGCTCCACGCAGGACCCGGGCGGGTACAGATCAGCGCGCAGTTCAGCCCATCAGCACACGAGGCCCTGCCTGCATGCCGACTTTGGAAGCTTCTGTGCTGCTGGTTAATTTCCCACTTCAGCAGGGACACAGGAGGATGAAGCCACAGCCAGGGGCCAGGCTGTGGTACTATGCTGGCAGTCCACGCCCCACGGCGAGCAGGCCTGGAATGCCAAACACCATGGTACACGGGCTGGCGGTGCCCTTGGCTACAGGCCTCTGTAATGAGCAGGGCTGCAAAGATGAAATACCTTTATTCCCGTTTTGATTGACTAACCACATCAAACTGCATTTGCTCTTCATTCCTGCTGCAGGAACCAGGAGGTGACGGCTCCAGGTTTGGAGCCGTTTCCTGGGCGTGGAGGTTGCAGGAGAGACTCCAGCCGTGAAGGAGGCGGGTGGGGATTGACACCCATTGTCTTTCCAAAGGGGACCCACTGGACTTGCAGCTGCGTCTCCCACGGGGCGGGGCGGGGGGTCCCGATGTCAGCGACAAAGGGACGGCCCCCACGGGAGGAGCGGTGTTCCAGAGAGTGTCCAGAGGGCACTAGTTACACCGGTGCCAAGTTGGCAAAGTGCAGGTTGGTTCTTAAAGGAAACACACCCTTACACGCGTGTTTAAATAGTAAAAATCACTTCGTAACTGAAGGGAACGATAATCACTTCACCGGGAAAAAAAATCTGTTTAGTCGTTATTATAACATTAAGCAAATTAAACATCAGCATAATCCAGGTGATACTAGAAAAGGGCCAGCGAAGAAATTGACTTTGTTGTTCATTAATTTACTTGGATTAGCAGAGGGCAGAGAGACAGCAAACGCGCTCTAGTTTTCTATGATATAATTTCAAACTGTACACCATTTGTGGCAGGAGGGTGACTTTGGGGTTAATCAGACTGATTTGTCCTTTTAATTGCTTTCTATTCAAAGAAAATTCATTAGATAATGTTCTCTTCAAAATTCATGAATCAATTTAACTGAAGAAACCACATTAACAGCTTTGGGTTCATTAGCACATACCGCGGTGTGGCTGGCTGACGGCTGCCAGGGTTTCCTTAGGCAAACAGACTCTGTTTACTGTGATTTCTTCAGAAAGTGTTTTGAAATCAAACTGCTAATCGCTATGACTGCTGTTGTTGTGCCCAACTTAAAAAAAAAAAAGAAGAAGAAAAAAGAAGAGCAAGCAGCCTGGTAGTAACTTCGAGCAAAAGAGATCCTGGAAAAGCAGCAGAGAAAAAACCGGCCGCCGGTGCTGGAGGACGCAGAGGCCGGGGTCTGGCCTCCTCCGAGAGCACTAAGCTGCCGTGCTTTCTTGCCCGCGTTGTGGCCCAGGGACAGGATGCTGCCTGGGTTTTCCAGAGCAGCCCGGGACTCACTAAACCTGCAGAAATACAGCGAGAGGCGTGTGCAAACTGCGCTGGAGACAGGACAGCTCCCAGACCCCACGGCGCCTCTCCCGGGCCATCACCCGAGCCCCAGCCTCGAGAGCCACTTGGACGGCCGGCCGCCAGACCACAGAGCAGCTTTCTCCCCAAGTGAGAAAGCACGGTGTGATAAAAGCATCGTGTCTACGCCCACATGTAAGCACTGAGTTTATCAAACACTTTCAGCTTCACTGTCAGTTTTTCATGGCAAACCGTTTGTCCCTTTGCACATCATCAGGCAATATATTAGGCAAAACAGCTCAAAAAACGCAATATTTAGCAATGAAGCACACTGTCCTATAAATGCATCTGAAACCTCAGTTTCACCCTGGAGGGAGCAAATGCATTGATTAGTCTAAGCAGCTCTCAGAGTCAGTGCCTCCACCCGGGACCTGTGCAAAACCAGACTAAATCCAAAAACCAGTGTTGGAGAGCACCGTATTCAGAGTTCTTGGGGTGAGTTGTTTTTTGGGGGTAACCTTTGTTATGGGGTGTGGTTTCCTGATGATGGGCCATCCATCAGCTGCCCAGGCCTCAGGGCTCTGCACAGCCACCTGCAGCCAGGGCACGCTCAGGTGCACAGGTGCGTCAGGGCCCCGTCTGTCCTCAAGGCCAGGCCGAGGGGAGCACCTTGATCACTGTGCGGGGGCCACAGACTCGGCCTGCCCCCTCCCTGAGCACAGGGAGCAGTGCCGTGTCCGTAGGATCCCTGCCACCGCACCGAGCCTGCTGTCTGTGCACGGGTCACAGCTATTTGACAGGTTTCCAACCTTCCGAGGGCTCTCAGGCCCAGGACAGCACACCAGAGTTCAGGGTAAGGGGGTGGGAGGCGGACCCCTGTGTCCTTCCACCTGTGTGCTCCTGTGTCCTCGGTTCATTCCTGGAAGCGTATCCGGTGCTTTGATGGTGTGGCAGTATCGGGTCAGGTTGGTTCGTTGACATTTAAAGGGCACATGGTGTCCAAGCTCCCCTCTAGGTTTCCAGGATCAGACTGATAAGAAAAACCCCAACAAAATATCAACACATGCATGCATGAACATGCATGAACGAGGGGATGTCACTACTCACAGACATTAAATGGACAAAAAGGTTTTCCTACAAATAACTCTATTCACATATTCAACATCACCGATGCACTAGTCCAACTGATCAAGCACTGCAAACTGCCAAAGCTCATCTAAGATGAAGCGGGCAACGGAGACCGTCCTGTAGGTACCAAAGAATTGAATTCACAGTTTAAAACCTTCTGAAATCACTGGGGCTGGATAATTTCACCAGGAAACTCTATCAAACACTTCACACATCAGTTCAGCACAATCTTTTTCAGAAAACAGAAGAGAAGGGAATACTTTCCAAAATATCTTAGGAGGCTAGAATTACTCCAATATCAAAAAACAAAACAAACAAACAAAAAAAACAAAACAGTAACTGGAAAAGTACAGGACAGTATCTCTTACGGACATAGATGTAAAAATTCACAACAAAGTATTGGCAAATCAAATCAAGAATTACATCAAGAAAAATATACCAAAATTAAGTAGAGTTTGTCCCAGGAATGGAAGGCTGATTCAATATTTGAAAAATTAATCTATATATGAAGCCACAGTAATCAAGATGGGATGTACCACTGGAAGAACACAGACCAATGGAACAGAAGAGAAATAATCCACACAAATACAGGCGCAAAGGTAATTCAATGGACAAGGGTAGTCTTTCCAAAAACTGGTGCTGGAACAACTGGACAGCCACATGCAAAAAATGCATCCAGACACAGATCATGCACCTTTTGCAAAAACTAACTCAAAATGGATCAGACCTAAATCTAAAAGGCAAAACTACAAGACACCTAGAAGATAACACAGGCGAAAAATCGAGGTGACCTTGGGTTTCGGGAAGGGTCTTTAGATAAAGCATGATCCATGAAAAAAAAAGTGGGTTAAAAAAAAAAAACAGACTTTATCAAAATTAATTTCTGCTCTGTGAAAGATGCTGCTGGGACACCTTAAAGAAAAGCCACAGACTGAAAGAAAGTTTTGTGAAACAAATATCTGATAAAGGACTTGTATCCAAAATACACAAAGAATTCTTAAAAACTCAACAATAAGAAAACAGCCCAATTATAAAATGGATAACAGCTTAACAGATACCTCTTCACCAAAAAAGATATACAGGTGACAAATAAGCATATGAAAAGATATTTCAACATCATTTATCATTAGGGAATTACAGGTTAAAACAATGAGATACGATCACACACCTATTAGAATGGCTAAAAAAAAAAATCTTGACAGTACTGACTGCCAGTGAGGATGAGAGATGCTCATTCATTGCCAATAAAAATGTAAAGTGGAAAAGCTACTTGGAAGAAAATCTGGCAATTTCTCACAAAGCTAAGCAGGCTCACCATGGAAACCAGCAATTACACTCCCAAGTATTTATATGACTGACTGGAAAACTTCAGTCCACATAAACACCTACACATGAATGTTCATAGCAGCTTTATTTACCTATTGCCAAGAATCGGAAGCAACCAAGATGTCCTTTAGGCAAATAAACTATGGAAAATCCACACAATGGAATATTACTTAGTCTTACAAAGAGTGAACTATCCAGTCACAAAAAGACATGGAGGTATCTTAAATATATATTCCTAAGTGAAAAAAAAATTCTGCAAAGTCTGCATGCTGTATGATTCCAACAATATGACATTTCGTAAAAGGAAAAACAATAGACAGAGAAACCCTTGTTTCAATATATGCAAATTAACAACAACAACAAAACACTTAAGAGATTGGACTATGCCGGGAAAGAACGCAGGCTGTAACAGGAGGCTCTAACTGTATTACAAACATGTGAACAACCCCAATGAAGGGTGCGGGAGGAAAAAGGGGCGACCTAAGTCATCTCCTTTGGAAACGAGTGGAGTCTATTGGACTAAGGCAGAAGGAACTGCATCTTCACACTGTACTCTGTCTGCTAAAGTTGCTTCTCATGGGAATATGGGTTAAAAATTCTGATATTGCTATATGGTATGCAGGGCTCGAACAACTAGTCACTAGGTGGTGGAAGGTACAAGCCAGTGTCTCACTGATAGAGGTTTGCAGATGAGCAGGGGGAGGAGGCTAGAATGATCCACGTGATGATGGATTAGAATTGTAGACGTGAGTAAGAACTAATGTCCATCTCACTATTGGTACAGACTGAGGTCAACCTCAACAGCGATAAACCATGACAGTACGTACCCTTGGTGTGACATCATGAAAATGGCACTTCGCCTTGGGGTCTTCCTCCCGT